CAATAATTATCTGCTGTATAGCTGTATGTCCATACCCGCTCCTCCTCCTCCCTCTCCACATCCTCCTCCGACGACTGCTTCACCATCTATGTTTCCTCCAGCTGGTCTGTGACTCCACTGCACATACAAACAAAATTACATGTATCTTTCATCGTAACCTTAGAGAAGAGCTTTTAAAAATTTAAACTACCCTAAAAGAATACAATATTTTCTCACTTCAATCTCGCGGCATCATGCAGATAAGTTTTAACGTATCTGGCTCTGAGATTCCTGGAGCTTATTTCTGAATAGCTTGTTCTAAACAAACCTGACCTGACTGTTTGTTGAGGTGGGCGGATCGCTGAAGTGCACCGCTGGCCCGAGCAAGTTGGTTCATTTTTCTCCAAGGACTGCTTTTTTACCTCATTATTATAGTTAAGTGCTCAGCCAATGACCAGAAACAGCCATTTAGAGAAGTCTTCATTGATGTGTATCTTTCTTTCTGAACCAGAACACAAGCGACACAAGTTCAGAGAGGTGAGGAGGTCGGGTACAGGCAATGGTGAGGAGTTATGTAGTCTCGAACTGTACTGCATTTAAGTCATGCGGACATGATTCACAACCTTTCAACAGATTAAATAACAGAATAGCAGCTACTCTTTTCTGATTTAGGGGGCTTTATTGGTGCTTATCACCCATAAAACTAAATATTTCTTGCATCTATAATTTTATATAAATTATACATCTTGTTTTGGTTGAATCGCTTGTTTTACATATGACACTCAAACACCATTTTCTCTCTGATATTTAGTTGTCTGATCCCATCATAATGCAGTCAAGTTGTTAGGGATGATGTAAGCTGGTGTGTGTACAAAATGGGATGTTTGCACACAACTTGAGGTTTTGTAAAGCTTCAATGGTTTTTTAAGTCAATCTTTGGACTAAAACAGACAAAGAAATGTCCAAACGTACAGTGGCCAGCTAAATATTGGTTACCAGTTTGATTTTACAACAAAAAAAACAGTGAAATATACTAGGCATAGTTTTTCTGCTTGCTCAATATAGATGAACGGCTGGATATAGCTGCCACAATTCAAACTCGGTCCATTTTTATTTCTGAAGTCACACAATGAAGCCCCAAAGGTTCCTGACTGACTCAGCACGGCAAAGTAAACTTTCAATTACAAGTAAGAAAAAGAAAAACCACCAAGATTGCAGCGTTGTGGTTTTTCCTGTGACAGCAACAGCGATGGAAATAAACTTAGAGAAAACACAAGCTGGAGGTAAAATATCTGGACGCGCACACACCGACCGGCTGGCTAAGGTGCTGACATTTTATCCAAGTCACCATCTGATCCCGTTTTCCCCCTCATTTTACAAATTGGTGTCCCTTATCGTGCCCAAGAACTGCCTTTGAACCAGAAATCACATAAGAGCAGGAGGTAAGGGAAGCTGAACTTTTAGCTTCCTTGCAAAGATTTTTATAGCTCAGAGGGAAAGAATAAATAGATTTCATGGGACGGATAAAGAAATGTAGCAGAAATACATCAGGAATTTTTTTAATGGTTTCTTTATTCTTCCCTGTTGTGGTCATCACTCATTCAAAAACTTAACCCATGAAATGCAAAGTGATTTACATGTATAAATTGCTTAGTATTGCCAATGTGTGAATGGGTTGAAACATAACTTAAAAACTTAGACCTTCCCTGACTTTCTCTGTTGCCTAAAACAGCTTGGGAACCTACAGGACGTTTATGCGCTCTCCAGAGTGCCTTACCTCTCTTCAGCTCCTCTACAGCGCCAACAGTGTGTTGCTAACATAGCAAAATGCTGTAGCCCATTGAGTGGATAATGTCATCCAGGCTTTTAGTAGCAGAAGTAGTCTCCCGGTGGCAATAGTTGCTCCCAAAATACTATCTGATATGTAAATAGCCAATAATAAATTGTGCAACAGAACAAAGAAAAGGTTTAACTAACAATTGCTTTCTGCTAGTCAAGAGATCAAGGCAGGGGCGGCACACAAGCTAACCTAACTGAAGCTAAGGTTAGCCAGATAACTTTAACTGTAACTTAGCTATGGGGTTTATTCGCAACGTTAGCTGATAAATGTATTTGCAAATGGCAAGCTAGTTAGTATCATGTATCCAATAGCCCAACTAAAATGTAGGAATGCTAACGTTATTCAAATGTGATAATGTCACGTTACTGTTTTGGACAATGCCCAGGATGCAACAGCATGCTGGCTGCAGTTCCCATAACGGCCACCGGTGTCATTAATAACAAGGATTTTCTGAAAGTTACATATTGTACCTTTAAATGAATGGAGCAATGCTGTTGTATTTTAATTGGAGTTGTGTATGATCTCATCTGATTTGTCACACAAATTGAGTTTGCCTTCAGGAATTCATGAAAAGAGAAAGAAAGTTGTTTTGGATGTGATGATGAAAGGACACCCTCTGACCGGCCCCATGACTGTAATCTCACGACCACCCTCTTTATCTGTGTCCTCATGTTGACCCCAATTTGCCCTCTCTGCAGCTATACATTGAAAAGTTCATGACCCATAGCTGTTTTGACAGGATTTTTCAGCCTTTTTTCTTCAAGGACATTGTGACAGAAAGATTTAGGCTACATACCTAAAGAGTACGCTTTCTAAACAGCTACTAAATGGATTAAAACAAAATACTGTTTCTGACTCATGGCTAACACATTCTTCTCATGCCTGTCTTGAGAGGGATTGTAAATGTGAAAGCTTTCATTGGCTATAATCTCTATTCGTATATCTATCAAATGACTATTTGAAAACAATGTGAAAGTGGTTGCTCGTAGTGATGAATCTGCAGCGTTTTCGGAGAAAAAGCTGTGAAAAGATACTTTACACTGCAGCAAAAGCCAACAGACGCAGTCAGAGACTAGCTAGTGGAGCATGTAGCAGCTAACGACTCAGGAGTTGTTGGAGACCAAAAACGGATATTCTTCAGATGGAAACAAACACCAGTCCTCATGAATGATCATGTTGCTCCATAACTGCTTGATGGAAATAAGCACAAGTAATTGAAACCCTCACCATAATGATTCCCTAACCTTAACAAAGTACTTATTTTAACCCAAAGCAGGATCTTTCCCTAAAGTTGTTTTTGTGCCTAAACCTAACCAAACCTTAACCAAAGCAGTGTTACATCATACAACTGAGTTTTTTAAATGTTTACAGTGATTTGTGAATCTTTGCAAAAATAGACAACTGATATCATCATTGTGATAAAGGGGTGGAGTGTTTTTCTAGAGGGTATTGACAAACGTAAGTCATAAGTGTAAACTTAATTCATAGAAAGCAAAAAGGGTTTCCAAATTTTAAGACGATCGTCCAATCTGCAGCTGTGAGAAGCTGCTCAACATCATCCATTGCACATTTGTTCATCAAAAGAACAATTAAAAATCAAGCTGATTTCTGCTTACGGACATCTTTGAACATTTTCATATGCTCACATTTCCAGTGTGGATTTGAGCCAACCCTTTAGTCTCCACATTAAAGCCCTTTGGCATAGGCGGGTAGAAATATCCAGCCCATAGAGGGAACTAGTGAGTCGCTTAGACTTTGTTTCGGTTGTATAATATGCAGCAATAGAGGTTAGGTTGTGTTGCGTCCCCTCTCTAGTTCCCATGCACCCTCCCATCAGTTGACCGGTGGCTGACCTGCGCAGCCGATGGCACTGGAGTGAACTCTGGTTCTATACGTTGCAGAGTTCCCAGTGACTGAGCGTCCATCAGATAAAGACCTTGGCAGAGCTACGGGGCCCTGCAGCGGACATAATTAGGCCGGGCTGTTTGTCTCCCATTATTTTTTCTGCCACATAGCTTCACCCCATTCTCTGCCTGTCAATGAAGGAGGTAAGGTGGAGGGTAGAAATGCCTGGTGACCTCATAGGTGACCTCAGGGGTGACCACACTGTCCGTTTTGTTTGTAATGAGGTCAAGATATGCAGCGAGACTGTTATTAATTCACTATAAATACTGTGGATACTTCTAATACTGTTATGACAACTCTATACTACTGAGGAATGGGTTGGTTTTTATCTGAAGTCGATCATAATTTTGTAAGATTTGGCAGCAGATTATTGTCCGTGCAAAAGGTAACTTCTTAATTGAGCTGTTAACGACGGAGTGTTTTATTGTCATTGGAGATGAAACCTTCTTTAGTTGTGTTGTCTGCATGCAGATGTTAACAAATCTGTGGTGGAATGTGAGTTGGTTAGTGTAGGGATTAGCGCTACGGAGAGAGCATGCAGCCCAAAGAAAAAGTATAATTCATGGTGTTATGGATATGTGTTGGGGGATCCAGATGTGGGGGTGTGTGGAGAGGGGCGTTATTGTAACTGCATCATCAATGGCTTAATATGCAAACTGGCTAAAGTTCCATTCGGGAAGTAGAGCAGGTTTTCAGGTCTGCAAGGATGATGTGCTCAAATGAGACCGATGTTACGTGTAATTGGTCGAAAGTGAAATAGTGGAGATTCCTCAAACCTCCATACAAGTGGTTAAGGCTATCACTGCATGTGCGAATTCATAAAGCTATTATTTGCTACAGTGGAAATTCGATGTTTGTGTATGACTTGATGATGTCAGTTTAAATAACCGGACATGACATAAATCAGTCCAACAATATTAATGTAAATAATTTGTCTGGACTTTTTGTTCCCAAACGAATATTTTGAAATATCTGTACAAAAATATTATCAAGAATTATAAACATGTTGCTTGATCGTATGAGAATGACATTTAAAACATGTAAACATCTCCTTGTCCTTGTTGAAAGCATGATATGACAAACTCGTAAAAATGACAACTGTTTTTGTTTTTCATCTTCTAATTTACTCTTTACATCAACTGTACAGCAGCTACATCCGATACACTCAATGAATGCATAAACAGAACAAATATATACAGACTCTTTAAAGCAGAGAAAGTGCTATCTCCTTCCACGAATCCATCTGTACATAAGAATTCACAGCGTGTCTATTAGGCTTCAAGACCCAGACAGAAACAGTCCTAAAATTAGACCAATAATAATAATAATAATAATAATAACTTTACTCTCTATATATGCTGCTCTAAACAATGAAAGATATCTATTTACTGGCAGTGAAATAAAGTTTTATGGACAGTCCTTTACATTACAGGTTAGTGTCTATCTATGTATAATTACAGCAAATATTGTTACAGATAGAGTAAAAGCACAGCAGAAATGATACATCTGCATTTTAAATACAGCTTATTCATAATGCTACTTCATTTGATACACGCATAATAGCACTGTTAAGGATATACATTATATTACATTCATGTTCAAAAAACAGAACAGTTTGATTGTATTTTATCTTGATGTTTGGGAAGTTCCTGGTTGTGGGATTTATTTGTCAAAATTAAGTGCAAGTTCCATCAGTAAAAGTGTTTTAGCGGTGGAGATCATTGCAAAACAATTCATTACAAAGATAACTGAACACCAATTGAGTTTCTGCTGTGTCCAACGTGAGTCTGGAGATATTTTCTAACAGAAGAATTGACCAGCTACATTTTTGTCAGTTTTCAAAAAGGTCTGAATCTCAAAGGTTTTTTGTGAATGCAAGTGAAGTGAAATACTCATGACTTGCTCATTCAGCACAGGAAACATTCATAACCCTTGGATATTTCCTTTCTGATACACATTGATGTAAAAGCTACAAAGTGGTGAAAAAGATAAAAACACAAAAGCTGAGTGGATTTCATTGTCTGTAAATCGCTTCGTGTAAGTGTGTATCGCAAACAAAATGTTCGTCCCTGGACCTGGAGCTTGGTCAGAGCCAAGAAACTGGAGCTAAGATGGCTTCATGGAAAGACTTTTTGGAAAGTCTTTCTCTCCTGTTATTGACAGTAGATGTGTTGTCTTGGTCTTCGATTTAATGGAAGTAAAATGCACCTTAAGTCTGTTCACTAGGCACCTTTGGCAAACCCAGATGTTCTGGTTGGGAAAAGGCTACACAGACTTACTTTTGAATTGCACCTTGTTACGTTAATTACCTTAAAAAAGCATGTTACGGATAGTAAAAGCTGGGGAATGCTGCAGGGGAACATATCCGGTGGTTAAAAATGAGCTCGTGCTACAACAGAAAGTGGTCTGTTAGGTTTGGATCAAACCACTGTAGAGATGATGACTTGCTCCAAACCAGCAATGTAAACCCCTGCTTCATGCCCGTGGAAATTCAGTTGGCTTGAATTGCACCATCAGGCCCAACGAGGTGCTTGTACCTCCTTTCTTGGGCTTGGAGAGATTTTCCAAAAGCAGGCTGAAGGTTAAGATGCCTCTAGGGTGATTTTTTTGGAAAGTCTGTCAGACTGTATTTTTTATCTAAAGCGGGTAGTTGTAAGTGAAATTCACATGCAGCCCGTTGACCGGGTGCACTATCGGCACTGTCTGCATCTTGGGAAAGTTCTCCGTGGCCAGAGTCCATTTGCAAGTCCCGATCAGCTCCACTGCCAGAGTCTTTAGGATCATCTGTGCCAGTTCTTTCCCTACGCAGCTCCGTACACCACCGCCAAACGGCACATAGCTGAACCGAGCCGACCGACTCTCCTCCCGGTCTGGGCCGAACCGGTCTGGGTCAAACAGCTCCGGGCTCTGAAAGACCGTGGCGGTCTCATGAGTGTCCCGGATGCTGTACATTACACTCCAGCCTTTGGGGATCTGGTAGCCCTGTGAATAGAGGAAAGAAATCAGTCAGTTTGGTGCATTTTTATGTTTTCAAATCTGCACAAACTCTAACTCTTCAGAAAGTCTTAAATATAATATGAATTAATGAATTGATTAATATCACGGGACTGCAGCACAGAAAAAAAATTATAAATTGTGTGTAGACTTTTTTTTTTACAGGTAAGTTTAGTGGAAAAATAAGTTCAAAAGCTAGCTGAATTTTATTACTTGCAAAACTTGTTCTCTCATTTGTTTTTTTCAACTTAATGTATTCATTCATTCCATTATTCCAGACCTCTTTATAACCTAATCCTAATTATTTCTGAGTTTGGATTCCCATGTCTAAGCTTTAATAAGATGCACTTGAATGAACAAGCATAATTACATTCTCAATACTGCAATTACTTCTCAGCTAAGGGGGTTCATACCCTGAGAAAGAGGTGCATAAATGGCGTTGTGCACTACAATAGTATTTTGGGAATTCGTTTTAAACTTCAATTGTCCTTTCGCAATAAGCACAGCAAATTGGGGGCACACTGAGGGCAGGGAAGGGGCATGTAAGGCCGAGGGATGAGGCCATGACAGGGCACTTTCTCAGCAAAGGCCACGGAACTCTGTATGTGAATGTGTTTGTCTGTTGAAGTGCAGCGAGGCCTGCTACATGATAAATGGACTAAGATAGAATTCAATTCAATCAAAATTTAGTTTTTTCCTCTTGCATGAAGAGTTAATTGCAGATCTCACTAATTGACAATTTTTTGCTGGTAATAAACCAGTTTCAACTCACTCACAAAAAGCTGACTCACCACAAGTAGAAGCGTCAGCCTATAGGAAAGTATTAGCACTAAGCTGCCAGGGATGCATCTGTACTGTGAAGCAATTTTGGTGTATAGTGGCCCGCACTGTATTGGAAATTCCATGTGATGCACACTAGCCAAAAACACATTTTCCCCTGAAAAAGTATTGGGAGTGAAGTGGCTGTAAAATGGTGACCAAAGTGTCACAAACCCCCCAAAATCCAAATTCTGGTCCATTAACATTTAGAAAGTCTAGAAGAGCCGTAATTAAATTATTTCATCCCATTAATCTTTGTCTCTGAGGCACATGCTGACTCGGCATGAGTAGAACTCTAGTGTGCAAGCTGTATGGGCCCAAACATGAAGAAGTGTGAGGAAGCCTGCTGTGGAGGCTTTTTCAGCTCCTGCACCCAGTGAGCAACTTTCATAGGAATGAATGAGGAGCTGTCTTTGAAGGCGGTATCCTGTTCTCTTTCATGCATCCATTTGCGTCACCAGTTTAGACTTGCAGCTGTGAACATGTAGAAGTCGCCTCCTACAGGCCAAAAGCTAACACGGTACAAACGGTGCAGAACATTTCTGCTAGCTAATGGTATCTCCATTCCTGGCTGGACTTCTCAAACCCTAAAAATACCTTTTGACATCTCCAAGAGAAGGGGCTGCAAGTTGTTGCATTTTGATGTGGGTCTTACATATTTTTTTCTAAGAACAGATGTCTTGTGCTGATCGATATATTGTTACTGTGAGGTTAAACAATGGTCTCTGTAGTTTACCTAATTTCTCCTTATATGTGGCTCTAGCAAGAAGCATAGAGTTGGATTCCTTTGTATCTGATGAAAATATATTACATCCACTGCCTATTATTCCCAGGAGACAGAAAACCCACCCAGACCAACTACAGTACACATGAATGGTATATTCCTGCCAGAGACTTGAACTTACGTCTAATTCAAACGTCTGCAGGGCCGTCCGGTAACCACCGGAGACTGGCGGCAGGAAGCGGAGCACCTCTTTGACAACACAGTCGACGTAGCGGAGCTGGCTCAGCTTGTCCAGGCTCAGATACGGAATATGAGACTGTGACTGTGGAAAACCATCCCTGTGATTCTGATGATTCTGACAATCTCCGTTCAGCAGGCAACTTGTCTCTGTGTCTGCAGCATCCTCCTCTTTCTCCATGGCGACACCAGATGAGCTGTGACTGCTGTTGCATTCGTAGCCAAGGCCCTCGGCCTCCAGCTCCATTCTGGCCCTCTCCACCACCGCTGGATGGCGGAGAAACTGCAGAATTAGAGATGTGGAGGCGCTGGCTGTGGTGGAATGAGCAGCGAAGATCAACTCTACTGCTGTTTCCTGCCAGGAGGGAAGTGGATAGATGGAATGATATAATATACCGGATTAGATCAATTTACTTAAAATTCATATTTAAAGTTAGGTGGCCTTTGAACAGCTGTGATCATATTATCGTTCAACAAAAGAAACTGGAAGATCCTGTCTGCTTGTACAGTTGCAGATCCACTGTGGGTTATAGAGAACTATTGAGTCAAAGAACCATTATAGATAGATTATAGATGCTTCTCTCTGGTACCTTGAGCTCCTGGATGCTGAGCTGCTGGCCGTGCTCCTTGGAACTGGACAGTATGTAGTCAAAGGCGTCGTGATATTCTTCCTCCGCCTGCTGCCTCTCCATCTTTTCCTCAATGATTTTCTCCATGTTGGCATGCAGGATTTCTCTGGCTTTTATCCCCTGGACAGAGAACAACCCCCAAAACACATTATTAGATTATCATTATTTAGCAGAAACATTTAATTTGCAGAGAGTATTACCCAACTTACATCACTGGGATTCTATTCCATACTAGTTTTCTAACAACCTAAAGAAAGTTCTCAAGCCTCAACCTCTGACACAATGGTCTTTTTCTCACAGTGCAGAGGCAACTTTTCCTTCCATCCATGTTTTTTTGTTATTGGATTCCAAAAAAGCCACAAATTAAGTAATTACAAGATGTATACAGTCACATTGTGCAAACTCACCTTTGTTTTTGGGAAAGAAATACTGTAAATCCTTTAATTGTAGGGTGAATAATTGGTTTGAAGTGAGGGTAAGGCAGTTTCATAATGTTTGTGATACTGGTTCTTACATGTAGAAATCAAACCTGCAATACTGGATGGATTAAAGATTTGTAAAACAGTGTGTCTAAAGATGAATAAACTTGAATTGGTTTCTTCTTGCTCTCTGTCACCTTGCGTAGCCCACTGAGCGGAGCGTCTATGGGCAGCGAGAAGAGGTTGTTCATCAGCTGCTCGAAGATCTGGGCCAGATAAACTATCCGCTCCTCCTCCATCTGCAGACCCAGCAGGACCCTGACTGCGATACGGAACGTCAGGGACTTAGCCGCACTGTAAACGTCGATGGCGCCGGGCTTCGAGCACCACTTGGCGATTTCAGACTTGACGACGTCCTGCAGCCGGGGCAGGTAGGACTCCAGAGCCCCCCGGCTAAACACTTTAGCCAGGATCTTGAAAGGGTTGAGGAAACAAAGGACAGAGGTGTCATAAAAAGTTATCACCTTCTACACGACAGTCAACACCTTTCAGTAAATACTCGCTAAAGAGGAGGACAGGGTGGGGTAGGTCAGGACTGGATAGAGGTGTAGGGGATATGATATGATAGAATTTAAGCATTGGATAGGTTTGGATGAGATGGAAGAAATGACAATGAGATGATTGTTGAAGACAAGACATGATATGAATTAGCAGATTGATAGGATAAATAAGGGAGCGGGTCTCGCCACTGTATTTCCTTTACGTTGTCACCTCGATAGTTAAACTATACCATAGGGTTATTCAAAGGTCATCGGTTATACAAATTCTCCCCGCTTCTTACTTTTCTGTTCCTCTTGTGCAGGTCTCCGATGGAGTTGACCAGGGTGTTGGGTCCCAGGATGATGCGAGTGCTCTGGGGCCACTGAGTGCACACCAGACTGTGCTCGCCCAGCAGGATCTTGCGGATGTTTTCTGCGCCCGTCACCCGGATGACGGGCTTCCCAAGGAGGTGGGTCTTAAACACATTGCCATGGCGCTCTCTGCGCCAGATGTGGAAGTTGGAACCCTGTAGTATGAAGAGTAAATTACAATTACAAGTTTGTCACATTTCAGGCAACAACTTGGTGACATGCATGCCTACTTTATTGGAAAATACTTATTTATTTTCCAGATTTTTCAATAATCAAGATTCAACCGCCTGTTTTGGGTCTAGTTTATTTGCTGGTCAGCAAGATATCGCAAAAACTAGTTGGTAGTTTTCATTGTCATCTGTTGAAAAGTCTCTCCATGGGCCAATACACAAAGGATTGGGTGTTTGTTTATTTTTGGTACAAATGCTCAGACTCCCTCCAATAATCCTCATAAAATATGAATACAAAGAAAAACACTAGTAAAAATACTACTTACTTAAATGACAAAATGGTCAGGGTTGATGAATGTTCAGATAGTGTCCACATACTTTTGGCCATAGTGTTGTTATGGGCTCTTTTTTATTTTTCTACATCTGTGAGCCCCCTCTGCTTTTGCGTTACAATAGTATTTAGAGATTTTTTTTTTTAAATGCCCAGCTGAAATGGGTCATTTGGATGTAGATAATTAAAAGGAAAATCAGAGGCAGGAGGAATAAAAACAAAAGCAACAGCCACATCACGTGTGCTGTAACGAGGCGCTCTGACTGACGCCCATGCGGGGAGCGGAGGAATAGTTTAAGGGACAGAGAGATGAGGGGATGAGAGTGCATTCCTCACTAGAAGAGACAGAAAGAACGAGAGAGCGAGAGGGAGGGAAGGAAAGAGAGGAGGAAGTTTTGAACAGAAAGCGTCTGTTTTTCCTCCGCAAGAAGGAATTACGCACTGAGCATCAAGTCCGCACATGTCGCATTAACAACAGAACTCAGCCTGCAAGAATCTGCGGAGCTTTTCAAAGGTTCCCGCGCGCTCCCTGATACATCATCAATAGGATTACGATTAGTACATCTTACAGCGATCCGGTATTTAGCTCCTTTTCATTGTAAACAATGAAGTAATCATGGGATAGAAAACCATAATTGATGAACATAAATAAAGAACTACACACACAGACGCGCAGGAAGCTAACCTATATTTTGGGACGCTTGTAAAAAAAAGAAAAAAATAACGACAACTACAGCAGTCCAGACGTGTCAACTCTCACCTGGAAGAGCCAGTGGAAAGTCTCTCCGATCAGCGGCCAGCCCATGGAGCCCTTCGGCAGCGGCAGGCTGCTCTCTTTGTCCCGGGTCAGGCTCCAGCGGAGGCTCCACAGCTGCCGGGTCAGCGCCAGAAGCAAGAGCGCGGACAGGACCGAAGTGAGTGCGGTGGCCAGAGCCGACAGCAACCCAAACTGGGCCAGGGGTAACATCTCCTAAGAGCTGGTCCGCTTTCCAGCATCCACCTGTGTCCGTGCGTAAAGGCGCTTCTGTCCCGTTCAAAACAGCGGCGTTAGCGCAAATCTTGTCCTCCGTCCAGTTTCTCCTCCCTCTTGTTCTTCTCCTCCGTACACTCTTTCCAAATCAAAATAAATGTGTGTTAGCCTGATCTGGTGGGGTTTACCTTTGCTCCACCAGACAAAGCGGAGAAAGAGGGGCAGCGTGAATCTCAACTCTTTGTGAACTCATCTCTGGAGACAGCCAATGGCCAAGAGCCGTTATAAGCTGTTATTATAGCTAGTTAGAGGATAATAATAACAGCAATCATACAAGCTGGACTTCGGTCTCCCTATCCAATCAGAAATATGCAGCGATGGTGCACTGATTTGAATCGTGGCCACTTCTGGAATAAGTCATTATTGTGATAAAAACAAACAAGAATGTCTCTCTTTTATCACGTAATTATTTATATTGGAGAGGCTTTGCAGACAGACGCACCTCCAACTATAATACATTATAAAACAGTAATCAGACCGGATGGATGAGCCTGCACAGGCTCATAGTTTACTCGAGATGAAATATATGAAAAACGTGCTTGATTCTCTCTTTAACCACGAGGAAACTCCCTCTCATTCCGCTGCGGCTGCTCCTTCAAAATGAGGAGTAGCTGTCAACTATTCCAAATAGTTTTACAGGTTTACATGCGCCGGCTTGTCTATTAGGTTATGCGCCTTTATAGGTACAGTTCAGGGGGCTCAGCCACCCCCCAGGCGGCCCGAGATTTATGGAGCAAGGGCAATAAATCAGGTTTTTAAAGAAAACAGAAGAAGAAAGGGGATTTGAATACAGTAGGCTACAGTATGAAGCGGATTAACAGGCCGGGCAAAGTAAACTATGAGATGAGAGGAGGCGAACAGGATGGAAACAAAGTTGAACAAATGAGTCACTCACTCACTTTCCCAGAACGATATAACAAGAGAATGTTCTGTCCGTAACAGAGGACTTACCTCCAATCAGCGTCCCGTCAGCTGTGAGAAAAATCCGTGTACTTAAAAGCAAAGTTTCTTTCTCTCCTTCTCTGCCAAAACGGCGACTATTCCTCCTCAGTGAGCGGGCTGCGGGGGGTTTTATAGAAAATGCTGCACGGCATGATCCACCTTCAGAGGATGACGTTGGTCTGAATATGTTAAAGAGGCTCGTTCATTCACCGCGCAGACCGGAGAGAGAAAGACATTTAAAAAAAGGGAAACAGTTTAGAGATGAGAGCAAAGACTCAGCAGTGCGCTCCGAGAGAGAGACTGTGCGCAGGAAAGAGAGAGACGGGGTGAGGGTGAGAGCGAGGGAGAGGTGTGAGATTGGGGGAGAGGAGATAGAGGTCAGATAGCAGCGGATGGAAGAAACTCACAGGTAGCCAATCAGCTGGGAGCTGTTTCAGAGTTTGGCGCAGGTTTTAGAGAGAGCTCAGTATTTCAGGTTGGAGCTGCAGCTGCTGCTTCGGTCTCCGCATCCCAACTGTCTGCTGTCGGCTTTAAGTGTGACGGGTAGAACAGTGGGCTATAACTCGGGAAATAATCTAGATTTTAATTTGTATCTATTTATGAAGCTAATTTGACGGTGTGGCTGTAGAGACAGGTCTCCAGCACAGACGTTTGAAATCGGATGTAATCATTCAAGTCTAGGCTGTTAGTTTGAATAGTTGTCCCTCTGGATATTTCATATTTTTTTGAATAAAAGTAAAATACAAAATTAAGGTGCAGGTCAAGAGGCTTGTTCGAAATGATTCATGAGACCGACTGAACAACTAATTATGATAATAATAATAATAATTAATAATAATAATTAATGATGATGATAATAATACTACATTTTATAGAACGCTTTCCAGAGGCTACCCTTTACATAAGTTTAAATTATCAAAGAAAACAACACGCTACAACACAACTACATTATTCACACATATAAGCATAACATGGTGAGTTTTGGTTTGTGATTTGAACATCTGTGGTGCGGTGTCGGATGTTTTTGGGGAGAGAGTTCCATATGGAAGGGGCAGCTATGGAGACGGCTCTGTCCCGAGAGCAGTCAAGACAAAACGTTGATCGGTAGAAATAGATGTTGGTAAACGTTTTCTTTTTTGTTTTCGTTTGAATGCCTTCTTGAGAGTCACAAATTTGGCCTTTGCAGCTTCTACAGAAGAGAATAAATTATATGTTAACCCGGTAAAGTGACGTAATCCAGATGAGATGGATATTATAGATTTAACTTTTTTACCACAACACTCTCACAACACAGTTTGTGTGTTTTTGTTACGTTACTGGATCTATGTTAGTTGTTGTCTCCTCTGGTCAGCGGCTGCGACGCCGAATTTAATCATCAAAAGCTATATATATATATATATATATATATATATATATGAGAAATACTATATGAAAAAAATGTTATTTTTAATGTATATATAATTATATATAGGCTACTGTATAATATATATTTATTGACATTGGTAATGAAGATACATAGATGCATAATTCCCTCAAGATCTGAACACTGTTGTGGTTGAAGTGTTGAGTCGTGTTTTTGTCGTTTCAGTCCACAAACAAAAGCGTTAATTAACATACTCTGGGTCTGACGCTTCAAATTAGTTGTGTAATTAAACTGAGATCTGACAATTAGAGCTGGATTTGTAAAATCGGACCAATCAGCGCAACGTTCGCACACTTCCAGCTGTTATCGGTGTGTTTTCTCAACGAGGAACGTTTACATTTGACCACTGAGTTGAATGGACAGCTAGTTTGGTGACTGTGACTGTGGGCGGTGAATGAGCTCCGAACCCTGAAGGAAACTCGCTCTGTTAAAAAGGAGGATTTCTGTGTGGATTTAATGTGGAGTCAGCAGAGAATCAATCTGCTGGGGTCTCTTAGAAGCTGTTCTGCTCGTTTATATAATCAAAATGTGAAGCTGCAGGTGTAATGGAGGTTGAACTCAGTAAAGTTCCGTTTAAAACTCTTTTTCACTTGACCACGCGCGACAGTTATTGCTTTTTCAAAATACGTATATTAATTATGACTAATTCTGTAATAATAGTTCTAAATTATAAGATACAATCCGACGTGTTTTTAGTTCAAATTCAGTTATTTTTGTGCCTTTGTCAAAAACGAAGAACAGGCTTTTTTGTCCTTTTCTCTGTTTCTTTATGTTTGAACTTGATAATTAAAAAGTTCCATGTTATATTCACAGAGCAGTAAATCTCCAGCTGACATTCAATAGCCATAAGCTCTGGGGAATTCCCCCCAAAATACACAAATCACACATGAAAATGAAAATGATCGTTCATATGCCGACAGCCGACACGCGTTTGAAGAAGGAAACTCGTTTTAAAAACGAATACCTACGAAAATGAATGCAAATTACATTCATGCTATATTACCCTATTATTATCATTATTATTATTATAGGCTGAAAAGTCTTCTTTCTTGTTTTTTTGGCCTGTTCTTTCTAGTTAAAAACGTTGCCCTCTAAAGCTGTCTGTTTGTGTTTAGGTACAGGCTGGAGTCCTTCTGCCAGTATTTTTATGTGAAATTATATTTTAGAAATGTATTGAAATCCCTGTAGTCCAGCTGTAGAGAGTATGAAAGATACACTCATAATATTGCAGAACTTAGGATCTTAACTAATTATTTGGACTTAAATGAGTCCTGACATGATGAAGATAAATGTCATGTTTAGAGCAGATTGATATTTTGATTTAAGGAGGGACTGCAGTGCTGCTCATATACAACTTTGTATTGAATCTGACCTTTTCCTGCCTTTTGTTGGTCAAAGTAATGACGTTTAAAAAAATAACTCTCAGTAACCTGAGAAACCTTCTGTCAAACCTGCTAAAATAAAAGTGGGTTCGGAATCTAACATTTGTTTCAGCTGCACGTCTGAAAAGTTCCAGAGGGATTAAATGTCTGGTGGTGATGACCTTACCATTAACACAAAAACTTATATCTAACTTCACGATCCCAACATTATGCCTTAAGAGTATAAATAACACCATCATGTACTAAATCTACACCAGTTTCATTTAAATCACTTCAGTTCACTGACTTCTCCCTTAAATTGAGTCCATTTAATAAAGCAGGCAGCCCCAGTTCTTCTCTCTCTTAATTGTTTCATCTCTCCTTTACCATTTGCCATCTATCCCCTCCTCTCCTGGCGTTTTCAGCATTTCTTTTTGTCTCCCTCCTCCCTCCCTCCCTCCTTCTCCTTCCCTTTGTGATCACATTCAGTTCATACTTGTGTCAGAGCGTTCCTGCCTGTCAGCTCCCATCACACAGAGTCTGATCATTAATAACAGCAGCAGGGAGGTTTTTAGACAGGAAGAGCGGCAGCGTGACGTCAACGATCTCCTGCAGGTCAGGTTGTTGAGGGAATCCTGTGAGAGCTTCATTCAAGTATGAAGCTAAAGGAACTCCTGGCATTGTTGTGATAAATGAAGTAGCTGAGAATTGGGAACATATTTAGTGACATTGCCTAAAATAAATCTAATGAGGCAACAAACAAAGCAGTCAGAAGATCAGAGTTTACATTCTGGCTCATATTCTCCACATTATACCATATTTTAGACTTTCAGAGATTCAAAACTCGCTGCAGATAGACAACTTCTTCTTGCTGCTTAAGGAAACTCTTCACATCAGCTGCCAAAAAGCACTGCGTTCACAAGCTACAGTGCTAAAAAATAAGTACAACAAATACAAAACATAAGCGGTGACTCAACAATTATCAATTTTTAGTTGCAAGTTCTGAATTTCTGCAAGTTCATTGTGACACAAAGTGGAAATTAGTAATGTTATGATTTGGAAAAAAATCTGCGGTTATTTTTAAGTGTTCACTGTTGTCATTAATTGTCTAAAACATAAAAAAACATAAGTATGTGTTTCAAAATTCAGTAATCTTTCAACTATCACATTTCGTTTTTAATATTGGATGTGATCTGTAAGGATTCGTTGTTACTCTGGACACACATGCTGAGGTGCATGTCCTCATTTCCCGTGCTGTTGTCCCATCAC